TTCCTGCTTTTTAGTCCTCCAATATCTGTGAAGCAAGAATCAGCCAATTACTGTATTTTTGGATAACCTTATTTTCTTATTTTTGATTACTCATTTTTGTCCCATGAGAGAGGAATTTATATTTTTCATCTTGACCTCTTTTTCCCCTTTGAATGGTCATTCTCTTGCGTTGTTGCCGATGAGGCAGCATATTTATTCACGTCAGTTGCTAATGTAAGGCATTTTCACTCTTTTTACAGGTGAAGAAGAAACGCCCTGGGAGGGATGGAAAAATGGCTGGGCTGGTCCCAGTCCTCTATGTTAATCAGTCGTGAATTGCAGATTGTACAAGAAAGTTTTGATCCTCTATTCTACGTTCTGCACTGTCTTATAAGGTTATCTGGTTTCGTAAAGTATCAGAGCTGCTCCAATATTTAAAGCTTCAAGTTCTCATATTGGCCGTAGGCTTGTCTATATGACTTTGAAGTTTCAATCCCTACTTTGATGCTACATTCTGGAAGCTCCAAGTAGGTCAATATTTTAAGAGCAGCGGGAGTTCCTGAAGAATCAACCAGTGTGTGTATTAGTCATTCGTTTACAATTCTTGTTTGTATTATATTATGTTTGTTCTCCTCCGTTCACTTGTGGTTTTGATGTCGCAGCTCCATGAAATTTAGCTAGTATTAGATCGAATGTACGGGCAACATTTTGTTTATTTTGGCTGATTATTTGCCCGTGTATAGTGTTTTTAATCTTCACGACTTCTCATGAAACCTGAGGCTTTGCAAGGACACATCGGCATCATGGACACTCGGAAGAACTCTCTCCTCTGAAACATGTTATGATGTTACTCATGCTTTCAATCTGTCTTGGAAATTACTCAAATTTAATTTTGTTTTTAAGAATATATGTTTGCTAAATTTATATCTGAAATATATTTACTAAAAAGGATAATTAAAATACAAAGTTAGAATATAAAAATAAATAAAAACCGAATTTATCTGTCTCATATAGTAATTAATATTATCTTCTGTCACATTGACTAGACCAACCATTAGGTGTTTCACAATTGGCCTGGAAAACTGACTTCGCCTAGGTTCCAACTTCCAATGGAGTCTCAGTAAAACCGGAAGTTACTATAGGTAGTGGAACGAATTTTATTCAGTAATCCTATGCATGAGGGTAATATCACAATTTGAAATTGAAAAAAAGAAAAGAAAAATAAGTAACCGGAAGTCAAATTAAGAGAAATTTACACAAACGCCAGATGACAACCGAAACTGAACTGGTATGCCATGTGGCAGCTAAGCATTGGGCTACTTACCGTGCCCAAAACGGTTATGACACGTGGCGCAGCAGTGGGGGTATTTGTAGTTTTTTTCTTCAAAAATTTTCATTTCCATTTGAAAAATCTGTGGAGAGAGAGAAAGGGAGCATATTAGAAAAAGAAAAAAGGTTTTTTAGGTTTTAAACATAAAATTTTTTTCACTTTTGGAAAAAGCCAAAGCTTTTTCAAAAAAGACAAAAAAACCACTCAACTTTCAAATCAAAGACATGCAAATATATTGAATTCCTTAGGAAATCTAAAAATAAATAAGGGCATTTTTCTCCATTTTTGCTTCTTTTAAAATTTTTCTCTATCCTTTTGCTTTTTCCAAAATGTCCCTTAGAAAAAGCAAAACGCATAGAGAACTTCTCAGTCTCTGTGTTATGGCTCCTTTCTTTGTGTTTCCCCAAAGCCTGAGAGCCTTAGAAGAAGAACACGAAGACAACCGCCTCTACGCTTGGAACCCGCTTGACATCGCTTCTCTTCGTCCCTCCGAACTCGAAGAGTTCGTCACAGGTGTTGATATCGTGACTAATCGAGCAACTAACTAGTCAAGATCAGCCACGTGTCATGCCATAAGAGGTCATCATCTTAGCTAAAGAAGCCTTACCACAAGTCACAAATCTAGGCAAGGCAAGGAGTCCCACATTAGAAGACTATAAGAAGTGAAGACTCCCCTTCACCTATAAAAGAAGACTACTCTTCTCCCAGAAAAAGGGGTCTTGGGGGTTTGATCTTTGGATCGTTTGGTCTTGGGTCTTGGATCCCCTTGGTTGGGCTTTATCTTTAATCATGAGTCTCTGCCTTCTTCTCTTTGTATTTGGGTCCAATTCCTTGTACAAATGTAAATACACATTATTATGAGAATGAGAATATACTTCTTTGTACACGCTTGCCCAAATCTTCACACACTTGGTGATAGTCCTCACCTTCACCCATCATCCATCACACCTCACCACTAAGTTGGGCTCAAAAGTGTCGAACCATTTTTGAGCATCAAGAAAAGGTATCTCCCTCTCTCTCTCTCTCTCTCACGCAGTTTCACTAAATCTACCACATTATCCAATTCTAACATCCGTTTGGTTGCCGAGAAAATTCACCTTCCAAGTTCCATATTATACTGTGTCACTGGTCCTGCTTTTTAAAGAAATTGATGTGCATAAGAAGTGGATCCCTCTCCTATAATTTTCTGGTTCAGTTAATTCTGAATGTTTAGCATTTGGTCACCTCAAGTGTCAAGTCAACCAAGTAGATGCTGATTCCCTAGAAAAACGTAAAGTGTGGCTGGGGATTAGTAAGTAAAGCAGAAACATTTGAAATTCAAACTGAGTTCAAGAACATTGAACCAATGATAATGTATTTAGCTGAATTTATTTATTCTAACAAATACATTTTTTTCCTGGGTTTTAAGCAAGAATCATTGTAAGTATTGGCTTCCTGGAGTTGGAACTTCACATTTTTTTGGCTTTATGGAAAATTGATGTATCTGCTTGAAAAACCATTGCATGCATTGCTTCTTTTTTCTTTTAATTTTAATTCTAATAGGGAAGCAGTACTGAGAATGCGTGTATTCTGATCCCAAATATAAGAGGACAAACACTCAACTGTATTATCTGATTTAAAATGAAATACTCTAATTACAAGAACAACTAAGTATGAGGATAACATCTAAGTATGAGGATACTAAAAAATTTGCAGTTTTTGAATTTGTCTTCCTTTGCGGCACCAACAGGGATATCCTCTGATCTCTCCGATAAGGAGCTATTTTGTATTGAAGAGCAAGATGTGTTTGATCGTGTGTACTCATTGATTCCCCATCTTGTAAGATTAATCTTCTAGAGAGTCTTCGGTCCAATCTCAGTGTTCTCCTCCCAAATGTTGATTCACTATCACAGGTTTCTCAAGGTCAGGATGATGTCACTCCAGTGCTGGATCGGGTTGCATCACATCGTAATGCTTTTACAATCTACACATTCTTCCTCCGTACTGTTGTTCTCATTGAGGAGTCCAACATCGCTTCCAACAACAATGTGAAAGTGTTTTCTTTTTCCTACATATCTCTTTATCTCGCTTTCTATTTGCTTCTACTACTTAATCACGGTATATGTTGTGTGCAAGCATGCACACTAAATTTAAACGTTATAAACATGTATATATTGAGTGTGATATTGCCAGTTTTTTTGCCAAGATGTTGAAGCCTTCTGCTTGGATTTAGGTCACAGCAAGTACCAGGAAGAAGCATCCTAAGAACACAGGGAATTGGGAGCCACAAAGAGGTTGCATACTTAATTTGATTGCTAATTCATTAGAGATCAAGCTTGCCTCGCTCTTTGGTTCATCAGGCTTGGAAGAAAATTTTATTTCGTTCGTTGCCAAGTAAGTTGGATGACTACTACAATTCAATCAGATTTAGTTTTATATCTTTTCCTTCGGGTTAATTACAATTTTTTTTTCCCTTCCTGCTTTGGGGTTTGTAGAAATGCATTTTCTCTCTTTGAGAATGCTGCACTTTTAAAAGGTGCTTTGTGCCGTATAATTGGGGCTTGTGCCACAAAATACTAGTGCATGGCACAATCATGTGCATCGATCATGCATCTAGTTCACAAATATGATTTTGTTGTTACCCACATTGCTGATGCGGTTGCTGGGGCAGAGAAGAAGTATGCAGATGAAAGTCTAGCCAGTTCTCTTATTAGAGAAATAGGTAGGATGAATCCAAAAGACTACATCAAGGATACTGTTGGGGCTGAAAATGTTGGTCGAGGTTTTTGGTGGAACTTTCTGATCGACTACCTAAACTAGTGTCTACCAACATTGGCCTCATTGTCCCACATTTTCGTGGAGAATCTTATAAGGAATGCTCTTGTTGGGGTCTTGGGAAAGCTTGTTGCAAAGGCTTTTCAGGATGTTGAAGGTGAAGTGAGTTCTAAATCTGTTCGTCTTCGAACTAAGCATTCCATGTTGGAAATTTTGCTTGTGCGGTGTCGAGATGTTTCAGCTTATACAAGGAGTCGAGTTCTTCAGGTTTGGGCTGAACTATGTGAAGAGCATTCTGTTTCAATTGGCTTGTGGAATGAGCTTGCAGAAGTTGCTTCTGGGAGGTTGGAGGATAAGAGTGCAATTGTTAGAAAATCTGCACTAAATTTGCTTATTATGATGTTAGAGCATAACCCATTTGGTCCACAACTTTGAATAGCTTCGTTTGAAGCAACCTTACAACAGTACAAGAACAAGCTGAAAGAGCTTGAACCAGAATCTTCAGAAAGTGAAAAGAACAGGTTACCATCTGATGATTGTACTACTGGAGATAGTGAGGTTTACGATGCAAATGCACGTGACTAAGGAGCAGCAGGACAGTTTGCCTGTGAGTTGCTTGCCTGATATGGAACAGAATATAGTGCAGAAAGATGGCTCTGTGCCAGACGTAGGGAACTTAGAGCAGACTAGGACCTTGGTAGCATCACTTGAGGCTGGATTAAGGTTTTCGAAGTGTATATCTGCCACAATATACCAACACTTGTTCAATTGATGGCATCATCTTCTGCGACTGATGTTGAGAACACGATACATTTGCTAATGAGGTGCAAGCAGTTTCAAATTGATGCCTCAGAAGCATGTCTCCGTAAGATGCTGCCACTGGTATGTTTTTATTTTAACTCAAGCTCTAGAAATAATGATGCAATGTTTTATTTGGGTCAATAATTTTCCTATTTGTTCAATCTCGATTAACAAACTCTAGATTTGATTGTTGTCTGGTTTATGAGATGTGTAGGATCCTAAATGTGTCTCGGGTTTGTAGGTATTTTCTCAGGACAAATCCATCTATGAAACTGTGGAAAATGCTTTCATTACAATTTACATAAAGAAAAGCCCACAGCCAAGAATCTTATGAATCTTGCCACAAAATCAAATATTGGAGACCTAGCTGCTCTTGAGTTTATAGTTGGTGCCTTGGTGTCTAAAGGTGATATATCAACTGGTGCGGTATGTCCTTTTCAGTTGTCACGGTCTTCCTTAAGTTAGTTGAAAGCTTCTATTTATGTGATAATTATTTTTTTATTTTGCTTGAAAAGATACACATGTTCTTGATGTTTTCAGCTTGCCAAAATTGACTCTACTATGGGTCTAAAAAGATCAGTTTAGGCAAGTAGAAGCCAAGCCAAGTATTTTCAATTAAATTATAAAATTGTTTTGGTGGCATGCTTGTAAGGCCAAGTCCATCCATCACCCCAACCCGAGGGTGGGGGGAAAAAAAAAATTGCGTTCCAGCGGAGCAGCCCAGGCCCGGGGAGGGTGTGGGACCCACCAACCCGAGCTGGCCCGAAGGCAAGTTCCGCCCCAAGTCCAAAACGCGGGGGGGGGACGGCCGGCACAGCCCACGGCG